TCTAGAAGAAATTTTTGCATCCACAACATCCATAAACCCTTTCATCACTTCTTGCTTAGTACAAAAATGCACTTTATCATAAAAAAAAGAAGGATTCAAGTAATAGGCAGCAGCATGAATACTTTGACGAAGTTGCCTATCCCACCTTTCCTTGATAATTCTTGTATAAGGCTTATATAAAGACTTCTTATTCATCAACATAGTCTTAATTGCCTTTCTAGCCCTATACATGCCATCATAAACATAACCAAGAGAAGGCCTTTCATCACCATCAACAATTCTAAGCAAGCGCATAAGTGGTGCCACAACTTTCACAATAAGCTGACAATTACTCCAAAATTTGTTATCTAAGACAACAGCAACAACATCTTTTGCCTTCGAATCTTTGTAGTATCTAGATTCTTTAAATTCCAAACTAGTAACCAATGCTTGCAAATCATGCTTATGATCAAGAATGCTTTTCAATGCAATAAATGTAGTGGCAAAACGTGTTGGTCCTGGGCGAATAATTTCAGTCCACCCCTCTCTTTTTCTCAACCAAGCCAAGAGAAAAGCATGATTATACACAAATTTAGTCACCAATGATGCACTAGTTGCTAATTGACTCACAATATCCAACTTGCCAATATCACTTAATATCAAATTCAAGCAATGAGCAGCACAAGGAGACCAAAAAATGGTTGGATACACATCATTTAGCATTTTTCCAGCTTTCTTACAATTAGCTGCATTATCAGTGACCAAATGGACAACATTACTAGCACCAACAAACTCAACCAATTCTTTAAACAAATTGCAAAGCATGCTAGCATCCTTAACCACGTCAGAAGCATCAACAGATCTCACAAAAGTTATCCCTCTAGGACAATAAACAAGAAAATTAATCAATTGTCTATTTTTTTGATCCTGCCACCCATCACCCATGATTGTACAACCAGTTTCTTCCCAAACTTTTCTGTAAGAATCAATCAACAACTGGACCTCCTTTTTTAAATCTTTCAAAAGACTAGTTCTCATAGCATGATAAGTTGGTCCTTTATAACCAGAACCAATTGCAGCAATAGCATCAATCATAGGTTGAAAATATGGAGAATTAATTGCATTTATAGGAATGCAACTATCAAAAAAGAACCGAGCAACAGCTAAATCAGCTTCATGGATGTCTTTCATACCTGCCATTGCACTCTTGATTGATGGTTGAGATCCAGGAGTTGTCCTCGGGGCAAAATAGTTATGCAACCCACTTGCCTTTCTTTTTTTACCCAAAGTGGTTGCTATTTCTTTTCCTTTAGCTTGAGAAGGTGGAGCAGGAATCTCTTGCAAGTCTGCAGCACCAAATGGGTTATCTTCCCATTGATTTTTAGCTTGCTTCTTAATTTCTTCAAATTCCTTCAAACTTTCTTGCATTCGAAAACGAACATCATAAGGCACTTTGTCACATTTTTTCACTTCTCCACTTTTTCCGGCAAGGTGCTGTTTCATTCTATTTATTCCACCACCTTTGATAAATTTTTTACAATGCAAGCATTGTAATGTTTTTTTAGTCCCTTCAACTTCAACACAATGCTCCCATGCAATATCAGCTTTTCCTCTAGATGATTGTTGTGATTGTAATTGCGTAGATGCAGCAGTTGAATTTTGTCCAAATGATGACATTTTCCTACAATTTACATATATATAAAATTATTAACAAAATATTTAAGAGTGCAAGTATAATAAATAAAAAATTCTTACACAAATACTGATCAATAAAAAATTAATACTGAAATCCATTTTGCTTAAGAATAATCCTTATAACCTTATTTTTATTACTTTTCTAGCATACTGCAATGTAATTCCAAAGACACATTTTACGCTTCAATCCAATTATGCTCAAAATGATGATGAGAAGCTTGAATTTGAATATGAATCAAGGAATACAAACATTTTGGCAAGCTCTTAAGTATGTAAAATTGAAATTCTAGAAGAATGCACCCACTTACCTTAAACTTAAAAGGATTAAAAGGGCGAGCTGCTGCAGAGGAGATGAGCAAAATTCTGATTTCTGCTGCTGCTTCTGGTCCATGGAGCAGGAGATGAGGAATAGAAGGAGGGTAGCGAAGGAGAAGAAGTTCTGCTTTGCTGCTTCTATTGAGTGAATGACGAGGAAGATTTTGATTTACGTTGCTGCTTCTGTTCAGTGGAGCAGAGAGAAGAAGGGCACTGACAGAGGAGATGAGGAAGAGAAGGAGGGCAGAGATGGAGGAGATGGTATGTTCTGCAACAGTGTGACTTGTTTTGCTTTGCTGTTTCAGTCCAGTGAGGAAGGAGGAGGTGATTGGCAGTCAACAGAGGAGAT